AGCAATATCAGGTCAGTTAGAAGTGGAGAAGGTTTATACTAACATGGTTATGCCACTAAAAGCACTAACATAGATTCAGTTATACCAGTATACATTTCTTTTTACTCATCTTTGCTTTCCATAATGAAATAATCATGCCAGAATGCTACAAAATGGAGTTCCTCCCATGGAGCATCTTAGTTTTTGAGCATCTTAGGCTGTTAGAAGATATGGTAGCAAAAGCTGCCTATTTTCTGGATAGAAAGCCAAGGCTCTCTCAGTCTAAGTTACTACAAGAGCCTCCTATCTGGGTAAACTGGCACATTCGCAGCTGTGGTGCAGAAAAGTTTATTTAAATATTAAAACACTTGAATCTATGTACAGTTTTCAAGGGAAAACATAGAGTGGTTTCTGATGAAGAAGGCTTCCACTTTACCCATGGTACCAGAGGCTGAGGAGAGGAGGGAAGACTGGGAGACAAGTGACAGTGATGGCTGGAGTCCTGAGCCTGGGAAGACAAGGGTTTCATGATCACTGCCGTCTGTGAGGAGAGGGGTGGACAGATCAAGACACTTGTTAATGAGTATTTGACTGAGGTTTAGCTAGGAAAGAGGTGAACAGAATCTCAGCAGAGTGCCATTTGGAGGCTCTAGATGGAAGATAATGTAAAACCCCTTTTCCAATGATCTTAAAGGGAAAAAAACCTAGAGGTCTCCACCGAAAAAGCAATAGAAATTGAGGCTGTTGTTCTATAAGTGTGACACATATTCATAATATGATGGAAAGAACTAAAGGAAAGTGGGGGTGGAGCTACAGTCAGTGCTCTGAGCCAATCTTGTGGCCACTGAAAGAGGAAGGTCCCAGCCCACTACTCACTGCCCCTTTCTCTCTTTGGCCAGATGTTGTCTCTTCCCCTGCCCTGTTGGCTTTCAATTCAGTACTGTAAATTCAGCCGGGAAAAAAGAAAAAAAATCCTGGAGGGGAGAAAAAATAAAAAATCCAAGCTAAAAGCCTCAGAAGGACATTTTCTGCAGGGTTAGTGAATTGAATTGGCCCAAAGAATTATCCAGTGAGCTGGCATTCCTGAGGATCAGTGAGGGAATGGCAGGAAAGCTGGGAAAGATGGAGCAACACAGTAGTTCCCTCCCACAGCCCTGACAGGTGAGATTGGCTGCTCTTCCCTTCTTAATGCCAACCTGAGAAGCTGCAGAAGAGGTAGGGAAGGGAGATGAAGAGATAGGCTGGGGTCCTTGGGGAAAATGACTAGGAAAGAGGGGAAAGGAATCCAGAAAAGAGCTTTCTGGCAACAGTAAGATTGTGCTGGTGGAGAGTCAGGATCAAGAACAAATTAATTTAGAGGTGCAGAAATGTTTCAATAAAATTCAGAAACAACAAGCAAATGAATTTTGTAAGGCTGCAGGAAGTCGTCCTGGCCATAGAATCATCCTCAGCCAGGCCACAGAGCGGGTAATGAGGATCAGTGCTGGGTGAGGGTAAGAGCAGTGCTCAGCAGTGCTGGAGAGAGCACAGTGCCTCCAGAAACTCAAGTGCCCTAAATGTCAGATGCAGTGCGTGGGAGGACAGAACTGTGCTGGAAGGCTGTGTGACAGAGTGAGACCAAAGAAGCAAACAGCTATGAGATTACAGCAAAATATTGATGTTATGAGAAAGGCAGAGAGTTGACAGTGGTCAAAGATGGAGGGAAGGGCATTAGGAAAGGGAGAGATGAGATGACAGTAGAAGGAGGGAATGTGGAATAGAAGCTAAAATGGGAAGCAGAGGCAGACAGATTCTCTTAATGGTTATGTGAAGAGACTACAGCTCTATAATTAATACTGTTTTAGCCTTTGGCATATGGCAAGCAACACACACTGTATGTAATCCCAGTCTGATCGTCTGACTGACTCCTAGACTTTTATCCCTACCCATCCCACCTATTTCCCTGCCTACTTTTGGTGCCTGGTCCATCTGCATTTATGTAGGCATCTGCTTTCTCCATATTTCCTGGGTTTAGGAGAAGCCAGGGTTCCCCAGATGTATTAGCACCATTACTGTCTCAGCTTAAATCTGGTAGTGCCCTGCATCAGCCTTTAGCACAAATCTTTCTGAAGTCCTGGTTCTAGACATGCTCAGTGCAAACTGTCCCTGGGGAAGATCCAGTGAGGCTTTTCCTGAGGATGTGCAAACTGAAATTTCTCCAAAAGCTTCTATATTTTGACCAAATTTGGGCAGATTGTTCCAAGAACAACAAAACTCCCTTCTCAGTCTGAAAGCCGTTTGCTAACTGCTAAGCCCTGCTCCAGCATGTTGGGACACTGCAGCTTTGCCAAAATTAGATGTCTGCCAAAATTATGGGCTGAATAGTATTCATTACCCAATCTCACTCTTACAAAGGGTTTTAGCTGCAGGCTTCTCCATGTTCCTAAGGAAAACTCATCCCAAAGCAGCCACTTGGGCATGAACAAATTGAGCCAGAAAGCTGAAGTCTTATGAGCAGTGTTAGGAAGCACAGGTCTTCTGTGGACGTCTTCCCACACTGCCTCATGGCTTCGCTCTGCTCCTTCATGCCAGAAGCATCTTCCTCTCAGCAGAGCTCTCACATGCTGCATCTCTTTCCTTCTGAAATCTGCCCCCCAGGGTGTCTTCTCTTCTCTGGTTTCTACACCCAGGAGCAGACCCTGCTCCCCTCAAGGCAGTGGCCGCCCTGTGCAATTTGGAAGGTGCACTGGCACAGGTCTGCAGGCCCCCTTCTGCAGACATGCAGAGCCTGTACATGCTCGTGGCAGCAGCCCTCTTGGGTTAGGTGTGTGAGCTGGTGGGGCAGTAATGGCTTTTTCTCCTATCTCTCATCCTGAATCCACACAGTATCAGAGAACCACTTGCCCTCAAGGAGGGTGATGACAGCATGAGGGCACCTGGCCATATTTGTGTGCCACTAACGGGGCATGAACAGATGGAGTACAATGAAGGGAAAGACAGCCCACGGACCCATGGTCTGCGATAAAGAAAGACAGATGAAAGATGATGGAAAGAAAGGGAGATGTTTTCTATTCCCCTTCTCCACTGGGCTTAGACAGCATACGTGGACACCCCAGCAATGCACGGTGCAGGGTGGGGTACTGATGTTATCCAGCTGGAGTGAGAGTAGCCTGAAGTGAGAGACTGCCTGCCTGCTTAGTGGGAAAAAATGGGACTTACAGCTTCTCCTCTGTGTTGGGGACACACATTCAGCTGCCATCTTAGGGCTGCTGTGCCACTTAGGAAAGTCAATGACATCAATCCTCCATCTTGTTTGTAGCATAAGGTGGGAGCAGGTGAGCAGTGCAGAGCATGTCTGATTAAGGATGAAATAAACATCAAATAAACACCTTTATTTACGGGCTGAGGAGGCCAAGGCACCTCAGGCTCAGGTCCATCTGTGCTAGGGCCACCTGCTGCAGGACACCCCTGACACTTGGCCAGGCCATAGGGATGCCTGGCTGAATTAGGACCTTTGGTGCTGAGAGGGACCCTTCTCTTGTAGAAGGACATTAAATTTGTAACAAGGGGGGGTCTGAAGCACACATGGGAGCCCGAATATTTGTTTATCAGGGCCTCAAATTTTTCTCTGTCCTCAGGAGTGCAAAAGCCATTCATGGCTGCTGCCCAACACAACAATACCCAAAGCACAGTCCTGTTTATTTTCCCTGCTCTGTAGTGAGGAGGGCAGAGAGGGGAGGGAGGAATGTGCAGTGCCTGGCTAGGAGTCAGCAGGGCTGGTAGGGAGCAAGAGGTGGGCGCAGAGGAGGGGAAAGGACACCCAGGAGATAGAGAAGGACTTTCTAAAGGTCAATGAAGGAAGTCACTATGGGGCCTGGAAAAGGCAGTGGAGAGCTGATGTGGGGTAGTGAGGAGGAGAGGGGCTCCAAGGAGCCTCTAAATTGGAATATTTGGAAAGCAGGCTGTTTCAGGAAATCCTTCAGCCACACAGGTTTACTGGGAAATGTGAACTCCCAGCTTTTGGGGCAGCTTGGAAACACTGGAGGATTTTGCTTTTGGACATAGAAGGGACACAGACGCCTCACTTTGCTTTTCCAAATATTTGACGCGTCAAAACAAGCTGGAAAGTCCGCACGGGTATTTTCTGCCTCCTTGTCTGCAACCTCAGTGCCCACAGGCCTGCCACAGGAGGACATGAAGAAGGAGGAGGTGAAAACAAAGAGGTGATTTCCCCTGGTGCTGTGTGCCATTCCAGCTGTGCTTGACTTCCCTTTCTGCCAGTGGGAGGGAACGATGACTTATTTCTTCTGTCAAGAGCTTGCTGTTCCTCTTCCTACTTTACCTGCCATTTGAGTGCTACAGGGTAGTACTTTAAACATTGGTGGAGAGAAAGGAATACCTTAAAGTAAGTGTGAATAAATGCTTTCTTTCTCCCTAAGAAGTGATAGCTAGCTATATTGATGGAGTAATTTCTTTGCACCTCCCAGTTCTGTGAATCATGGTTATTCATCCCAGAAGGAGGCTTTGATCTTTCTGCGTGTACTTGTAAGTTAAATAACTGATACATTTCTTGGATGGACCTTTTGAATGCTGATATAATTTTCCTCCCTTCAGCTCCTGAAATCATGATTTTAAGTGTCTAAAAATATCACTCTTCTGTTGACTAGAAATTTTTGTTTCATGAGCCTATGTTTTCAGAAAGGAAATGTTTTTTGGAGCACAGGCAGAAGGAGCTTTGCTCAGGAGCAGTCTCCAGTCTTGGCAATGACTCTGTATTCCCAGGGCTTGGCTGCATCTGAGATCTGGTAATGAAATGCTGTTGTTAGGTGCCAAAAGATCACCCTGCTCTGATGCCCATAAAATGAGGATATTTTTAAGAAGGGCAAGGAGATACTTCATAGCAATGAAGACTTTTTTTTTCAGAACTATATTAAGCAACTTTGAAAACAGAAAGTTTTGTCAAGGCCCATCATGGCTTGCCACATGTTTCCTGCCATGTCCCTTCATGCCTGATTGTCTTGTTTCTTTTTTTCTTTTGCAGCAAAGAGCTCCTTGGCCTACATTAAAAAAAAATAATAAAAAAAAAAATTCCAAGGAATATTTGAGCACCAGCCAATGTACCTTTCAGGCAGCACTCCTCACTCCTGTTACCCTTATATTGATACAAGCACCCAAGCTGGCAGGTACTCCCTCTGTAAGCCCTGTTCCTGCTACTTGTCACCTCCAGTATGCTGTCCCATCTCTCAGGAGCAGTGCCAGTGTTCACATATTCTTGACTGTGCCTGACAGCACTGGTAAGTTTCCAGGCACAGCTTTTTCCACAGCCTGCTTCGGGAAGGAGGCTGTGGCAAAGGGCTGTGTCTGGGGAAATGGAAGCACAAGAGATGAAATAACTTGGTCAAGGTTATCCAGGAAGGCAGTGGCAGAACTGCGACCAGAGCCCAGAGGTTCAGAGTCCCCTTGACTCTCCATGGGTCAAAAAGGAGCCATACTTACTGCTTTCAGTTTCTTTAATATCTCTAGAATGCATATAAATGCATATTTTGATGGGCTCATATCTGCAGTGCCAGGATCTTTATTTAAAACATCTGCTTCAACATTTCCACCTAGAGCTAAAGGAAACATTCCTCTGGTTTGTAAGTACATTGTCAGCCAGACCTCTGAGCAGATACCTTAGTGATATCCAGCAAATCTTGTTTTAAGCTGACCTGTTCTGAATAACATTCTCTAGTGCCAACCACTGCTTCTTCCCAAACACACATCTTCTTCTGAGGCAAAAATACCCCCAGCCAAACACCATAATAATTATTATTATTATTATTATTATTATTATTATTATTATTATTATTACTACTATTTTTATTTAGTTGGAGTATGTCATGAGGACTTCCCCTTCAGCAACCTCAAGAAGCCTTGCTGGCACCTGGTGGGGGATCTGAAGACTATTTACATTCCAGAGGAATTTACTGGGAAAGTCCAGGACTCTCAGGGCTTTGAATACATCTGAGGAGAGACGCCTGATTGCCGTAACCCGAGATGGGGTTCTTTGCTCAAGTGTCTGAAGCCCTGGTCCAGTTGCAAGCCAGCTCTCTGCAAGTTTGACTGACTTGGTCTATATCAACAACAACAACAACAACAACAACAACAACAAAGCAATTGTGCAGGTGCTGGCCAAGCATGTCTGGCTGAGTCTGCGAGGCTGCATAGCCTGTGGCGAGAAACCTCAGGTTTGCTGTTTGTTTGCCACATACTCAACACTGCTGTTATTATTTTACTGCCTGTAACTGAGGTGCTTCACAGTCACAAATATCAAAGGGAAAGAAAATGTTTTATTCTCCCCCACAATCCTGTTAACAGAATGTGTTACCAAAGCAAAATGATTTTCTTACAGATATGGCCCTTGTAATGAGGAAGAACAGACTCAAAGGTGAATACCTTCGACCACAGGTCCTTTCAGTCCTGGAGGATGCGAGGGCAGCTTCATCAGCTCTTTCACCACAGCTGACCTTTTGGCTGCATGGGACATAGAGAAAATACTGTTTATTGTGAAAAAAACCCAAAAGGCAGTAAGGGTCTAGCATTCAGGTGAATGGGTACCAGTCAGTTGCCTTTGAAGCTGGCTCAGCACTGTATGGAAAATTGCTTTTTGGTGCCATGCACGTGCCAATGGCAGCCAGCCTGGATTCCTACAGCCCAGACATGGTGCCAGAGTCATCATCACACCCAGCCCACTCATTCTACAGCCCTTCTCCATGCTGAACTCTCATCTCCCTGCTCAAGAGAAAAGCCAGAGTGCCTCCCAGAGTGTTGGGATTCTTCCTATTCCCAGCTGACTTTTCCTAGAAAGACCAGAACTGATAGACAGATCATGGGTACAGCATAAACCAGAGAAAAGCACTGTGTAATCAAATATCTAAGTATTTTTTTCATAAGCAGCAAAGCAAACACTCACTTACAGGGGCATGCAGGTGCTCATCCTGGAACAGAGGTGACTTTCTGTGGTAGCACACTGGGCAAAATGTAATCCCAAAGTCTGTGGCAAAACAGGGAGAAGTGGACCTCGGGGGTTCTTACCTCAGTCTCCTACCAGGGGATTATTCTGAAGCAGTAAACTTCTCTGTTTGCAGATCCACAGAAGACTAATGCCTGAGGCTTTCTGTTCCCAGCACTGCCCTTCAGCCTGCATTTTGGCGATCAGAAGTGGCAGCATTAAACCCAGAGTCCATTTTCTGTCATGCAAAGGTGGATGACTGTCAGGGACCATAGGTCTCTAACTCTTGTTCCCAGCTGTGTTGGTTTAAGACGTTACCTCCATCCTCCCTCTTTCCTTCCCCAGGCACTAATGTCTGTCTGTGTCCCTGCTCTGCTGGCTTAAGCTACTGTGCCAGGTGATAAAAGCTAATGAACCAGATGAGAACTGGGTCAACAGAGCAATAAATACACATTTACACCTGCACACCTAGCAGGCACTGGCTCCTTGGCTTTGCTTGTCAGGAGTCAAAAGGGTTTCTGTGCCTACACGTTGGCAACCCAGATTCATTCTGCCTTTCCCCAAGGGTATAATAATTTCCTCCCTTTTCTTATTTAACCATCAGGATGAACAGTCATAGCTTTAGGAATGGTTCTTATCTCCCATTGCTGTGGTTGCCCTGTGGTCATAGATAATATAAGTTTTATGGGGCATTTGGAGTTTCATGTTGCCTTGCTGTGCTCCCTGGAAGTTTTGTCACCCATTTCAGCCTGGCACGGGCGTAGACCCACGAGTAACACTGCTCCCATGCATCTCTGTGTGTGCCAAGGGTGAGCATCACTGGTCCTGACCTGGGATGGCACGACTGAATCTGCTTAGAGCTGCTGAGGTTTCAAGATACCACAATACATATTTGTTTATATTATATAGCTCCAAGACAGTTGCATAAACAGGCCTTGGCATAATGTTTTCATTTAAAACACTCTGCTGTATAGAACAGCAAATGCTATGACTTTTTCTCTTGGTAGAATCAAATCTGGAAAAGGGGTAGGAAGGGCCATGTGTTTCTTGAAAGTTGAGCCTCCAGAAAGCAGGAGCCTGAACCGTTCAAAGGCAAGTCACCTGGCACTGCAGAGCATCCTACAAAATCACATCTGTTTTTGGGAGTTTGCTGTGAGCCCACTGGGGAAAGATAGTGCTTTCAGCCTTGGGTAAATCACTGGCTGTCTCTCTAAAGGCGATTTTCTTTATGAAGTAATGACTTTGAAGGGAGGGAAAAAAACCACCTTGGACTTCCCCCTTGATATCTCTATTCAGTTTGGCAATAAGCAGTGGAAGTTTGATGCTTCCTTTTATGTCTGCAGTAGAGCACAAAAGTACACGGTAAACTCCTTTTTCTACTGCAAACAAGTCACACAAAAATAGCAGCATAAATTTGAGGGTGATTTCTCCTGGAGGTACTTCAGAATGAAAGAGCATAACTCCCACACATTTAACCACCCACAAGACTCAGTGTGAGCCACCAGGGGCATTCTCCATGTGGTTTGTCACACTGACAGAAAGGGCCAGGGGATGAATAACCTCATGTGAACTGGTAGAGAACCTCTTCTTATGATACAGCCCTCTGAACACCCCCAAACTAAGAAGCAGGTATGTTTAAAGAAGGTCTTTAAAGTCTCACATCTGTTAAGGTTCCCTGACTTCTTCATGAATGTTAAAAGAAGTAAAATTTAAAAGCAGAATGAATATGTTTGGTTAGGTGAAAAACCGGATACATCATAATTCTGTAGTAATTCAGTATAGTAGGACTGTGATGAAGAATCAAGCAATTTCTTTTAAGACTCAGCATTGCAGATCCTTGTAATCACAGATTCCATGACCTTCAGGTGGATACATTAACATAACTTGCATACTCTCTCATTTCTTGTAAGAAACAGACCTGAACTGAATGTTGTATCTTGTTCCTTGTATAGAAAAAAAATAAATTAAAGAAACTAAGAAGGGAGAATGTTCTTTCCTTTGTAGCACCGAAAATTATTCCAAAAAGGAAAATAAAAAGCTTTTGTCCTATATTCTTGTGCCAATCTTTTCAGCTTGAGCTGCAGATCTGTAGTACTACCTAATACTGAGAGCTTTTAGACAGCTTTACAAGATGAAAATGTAAGCTCTGTTTCAGCACTTCTTCTGGAAATGGTCAGGGTTTTCTTCATGTTGATGAAATTTTCTAGTAGATTTCACCACTTAAGGAAGAAAAGGCATTTGCTTGTCTCATGAATTTTCCCGTTACCATCATTTGAAGAGTAATGTGCAAAAAAGTTTTAAGGACCTGTCAAGAACCACTTTCCTTTGAAAAGAATATTTTATAAACATGTTCTTGTTATAAATCCATCTTAATAGTCTAAACACAAATATGTTTTGATATGCTGATTGTATTTTCATGTAAGTCAAAACCTCTTGACAGCCTCTGTCTTGCAGACAAAATAAATTCAGGAAGGAACATATATATGCGTCTTATTCTGTGTGTGTGAGCATATCTGAGACCCACTCTCAAAAATATGTAAAATTGGTTTTGACTCAAATTTGCCTTGTACCCCAGCCACAGACATGACCACTGTTGTATTAAATAAACCACAAACCATTTCTTCTACCACAATGCAACTTCCATTTTTGGTGCCACCAGAAATGTGGTACTTTTCATGCAAGGGAATGATCCTAAGAATTTCCCAGAGAATTTGGAGAGGAAATGGAAAGCATCGTAATGACCTTGTCCTTGTACTGTTCAGAGCTATGATTATATCTCATTTGTTTTCTGACTTCTTTGCTTACCATCAGAGAAGAAAAAGCTTTCCATGTTACTCATTATTAAAAGAAAACATACTTCTGAGTCATTTTTGGACTAGAATGATGTTTGTTCACTCAATCTTGGACCTTGTGCTTTCCACATAAGTTTGTTGGAAATGTTCAAGTGGCCTGGAAATTTTCTTAGACAGAGCCAAGGTATTATTACCACGTATCTCGGGAGCACTGGAATTACCCAGCTTTGTGGATGTTTGCAGGGTTTGTTGAGCAAGCACAGGGGATCCCAAGTGTATCTAACTGGGACAACATGGGCACAAAACCACATTTTGAAAGAAGCTTCCTACTTTTGAAGACCAACAGGGACAAAATGTGGTCTCTTGTCATTAATGTTTGTGCTTTGTGCCCCAAATAATCATGCTAACAGTGAGTACCAATGTCACTGTCTAGTGCTTCCAACCTTCTGTGGGTGCATTGTGCAGTTTTGACCTCTCCTGTGTGCCCATGGATAGTGTTTGTGTGCAGTGGCAGCAGAGGGAGATCTGCAGCTCTGAGTAGATCAGTGTCAGCCTGTCCCTGTTGCTGTGAGCAGGGTCAGGAAACAGTGGTAGGTCTTGGCTGCCCATTCTGATTTGTAAGCCTGCAGGCAGTGGTGAGGCAGGTGAGCCTTGGGCACCGAGTTTGTGGCTACCCATGGTCTCAGTTAACAGGTGTGAGCAGAGCAGTCTTCCCCCAAAGTCATGGGTTGTTTTGAGAACCAGTGTTATGTTTAGTAATATCACAAGTTATATTTGATAGTAACACCATGCAATGTATTAATAAAAGGCTACAAAGTCTATACCTAAATCTCAGTATTTTTTTTTCTTTGGGAAAAATTTTTCCTGGATCTTTGAAAGTGATGAGTTGCAATACCTGTGTTATTACAACCAAGGGATTTATTAAAACAGATACCTGTGCCTGTCTGTAGGGGTAAAGTGTGAAGTTTTTTCAAGATAGGAGAGTATGTGAACATATAAGTTTTGATAGTCTAAAAAGGCACATCCATTTTTTTCATTTGCTAAAAATGCACATGAATATGAAGACAGGCAGAGGTTAAAGATCCATGCTGAGGAACTGAAGCTGAGCTGCTCCAGAGAGAGGATGTAGACAGCTCTGATACCAGTCATGGCTTCTGATTGCAATTTGCCAGAAGAAATTATTATTTCAGTCAAAGCTGTTTGTCAGAGCTAAATGTCATATGACTGGCTGTAATCAAGGAGGGCCAATCTTTTTGAAGTGATATTCACCACAGACCTAAGAGGTCTTGTAGTGGTCTGAGGCAATACTGTATGTGCTGTGGAGGTGGAAGGAAAAAATACAGAATGTCAAACAATTACTGATCAGTTTTCATTTTGGTTGCTCTCTGAACCAGGTGGACTTTCCGTGCATTTAGTCTCTCACTCCTGATCCTCTCTCCGTTTCCCCTGCAGCCCTGCAGGCCCCCATGGCACCTTTATGCTGAGCATCCACTGGCCACAGGGCTACCTCCTTCTCCTTTGGGGTGTCAGGGGTGCGGGCAGAAATAAACATGGAGCCCCTGACCCCACAGTGGAGTGAGGTCCAGTGGGTCAGAACCTGTCACCAGCTGACAGCAAGAAGGTGCCCACTCTTCCTGCCTTTCCCCACCCACGCACCGTCCTGGTGCTGAGTCACCTGCTGGCGTGGCAGTGGGCTCCTGGCAGCCCTGAGCCCCGGCACTGCAGTGGGATCTCCTGGCTTTCACAGCCAAGGGCTCCACAGCCCCATCCCTGGGCGCTCCCCTGCTCAGGACAGGCACGGCACAAGCTTTCCCAGGGGTGAGCTGGGGGCACCGAGTCCCTGGCACCCTGGTTTCCATGCGAGCCTGCGTGCCCATGCGAACGCTCGTTGTGTTTTCAGGAGCTAAGATCATTTTTCATCAGCGCCTGGAGGTATCCACGTAATTTTAGAAAATACATAGGATCCTCTGCCTCAACTGACCTGATTTTGATTTGTGGATTGGGATTTTTTTTCTTATCAAAACTCTTCTGGGGGTTGCAATGCCCAAATTAGGATGAGAAGGCAAAAGGGACAGTGTGTTCCAGTGCACTTATTTTATTTTTTTTTTTCTGGTTATTAATTAGCAGAAGTGAAAAATAGGACTTAAGGAAAAGGATTGACTTTTTTTTTTTTTTAAATGGAATACCCATTTCATTAAAAAAAATCAACGTCCCTCAGAGAAACTTGGAGGGATATTACAAGTTGACAAAAATTCTTTTATTCTCTGTAATATTTTTTCTTAGAAAATTTTTTAAGAAATATTTTCTTCTTTCTAAGTTTGAGCAATTTTGCTTTGAAATGTAAGCTCTTCTAAACACATAAAATATAAAATTTAAGCAGTCTCTTTTTTTTTTTTCCAGTGAACAGAAACATTCCCATTTGGACTTCTCCTCTCTGTCCCAATGAAGAAAAGATTTAAATATATTGAGAATGTTAATGAGATAAGAAAGATACATTCTGCTCTCATAAATACCTGTACATACCCTACCCATGATACCATTTCTGTGTGCAGCAGTGGCACTTCACAGTACCTGTCTGATTTCCTCTTATTTGCTTCAAGCTTAATTCCTCCCTATCTCAAAGGACAGAAATCCACAGACCAAGTTTGACCTTGCTGTAATTCTGAATGATGTCATTTTGTCATTGCTGAATTTGGTCCATTATGATTAGAAAGTGTGCTTAGCTGGCAAGGAAATTAGCTGAGCGTATGTAGTTAATTTTAAGCGTGCTCTTAATGCTATCCCTTTTCAACAAACCACTTAGACACATGCTTAACAGCCCGTGTGCTTGAAGTTAATTAAGTGCCTAATTGCTTTTCTGTATGTGGGCCTGAATAGGGATGGACTAAAGCACATACTTCAGTTCTCAGTTAAATTGCATCCCTTTCAGCAGGGCTGTTGCAATAGGACAAGGGGTCATGATTTTAAACTAAAAGAGGTTGATATAAATCACATGTAAGGATTAAGTTTTTTACAATGAGGTTGTTAAAACACTGGAACAGGTTGCCCAGAGATGTGGCGAGTGCCCCAACACTGGAAACATGCAAGGTCAGACTGGATGAGGCTCTCAGCAACCTGACCTAGTCAAAGATGTTCCTGCTTACTGCCATGGGGTTAGACTAGAGGCCTCTAAAGTTCCCTTCCAACCCAAACTGTTCTATGATTCTAAAAAGCAACTGTTTTCCTAACCCTTCTACTTCCCTCCATCCTTGCTAAAATGTATTTAATTCCTGTGGCAGCAAACTCATCCCTATGATTGCCTAACAAAAATCCAATCAAAATAAGTTGTGGCATCTTCTTGCTGGCTCTAACTATACTCATATTCATGAGTTGTAATTAAATCCAGAACTCTAGTCATGTGCCATTAATTAGCCTAATAGAGAACTGAGAGAGAAATGTGGTTTCTGAGGCAGTAAACTTCCCTGCCCCAGAATACAAGACACGCCAGTCAGAACTTGGCTCAGAAGGCCTCTATGAAATACTAAACCTTGTCAGGGTTCAGGGTTTTGGTGAAAAACAACAACAACAACAACAAAAACCCAAACAAAAAAAAAACTGTCAGCAACTTCAGATCCACCAGAACTTCTCCAGAAGCGCAGCCCGTGGCTTCCCTCCAGTGGCTGGTGAGAGTGGGGTGGAGACACCTGCTGCCCTAGAAGCACTCCTGAGGGGTGGGAGGGCT